AGGGTGGTGGAGGGAGGGTGATGGAGGAAGGGTGGTGGAGGGAGGGTGGTGGAGGGAGGTGGTGGAGGGAGGGTGGTGGAGGGAGGGTGATGGAGGAGGGTGGTGGAGGGAGGGTGGTGGAGGGGAGGGTGGTGGAGGGAGGGTGGTGGAGGGAGGGTGATGGAGGAAGGGTGGTGGAGGGAGGGTGGTGGAGGAGAGGGTGGTGGAGGGAGGGTGATGGAGGAAGGGTGGTGGAGGGAGGGTGGTGGAGGGAGGGTGGTGGAGGGAGGGTGGTGGAGGGAGGGTGATGGAGGAAGGGTGGTGGAGGGACGGAGGTTGATTATTCAGGTATCCAGGAAATTCTGTTAAATAATTGTCCACAAAAAGTCTAAGAAGAGAAATATTGTGTTAAGCACATTGTGAGGCTTCGTATTTTACTAAGATAAAAGAATGTGTGAAGGAAGATGTGAGAGTTGTTATTACCCGGAGAACCTGTCACTACTAACACCTCTAGCAACGACCACCTGCAACACTGACCAACTGCAACACCGACCAACTGCAACAACAAGGAACAACAACAAAGAACAACAGCAACAAGCAACAGCAGCAACAAGCGTCTGTGGCAACAAGGAACAAAGAACAGCAGCAACAAGGAACAGCAGCAACAAGTAACAAAAGCAACAAGTAACAACGGCAATAAGGAACTGCATAGTAAATTGTAAAGTACATGGGTGTGTGGTGGTTCGTGTACTAGCACTGCCTCTGAGAGTAAGATGCTTCCTACGTAGTGTACTAGCACTGCCTCTGAGAGTAAGATGCTTCCTACGTAGTGTACTAGCACTGCCTCTGAGAGTAAGATGCTTCCTACGTAGTGTACTAGCACTGCCTCTGAGAGTAAGATGCTTCCTACGTAGTGTACTAGCACTGCCTCTGAGAGTAAGATGCTTCCTACGTAGTGTACTAGCACTGCCTCTGAGAGTAAGATGCTTCCTACGTAGTGTACTAGCACTGCCTCTGAGAGTAAGATGCTTCCTACGTAGTGTACTAGCACTGCCTCTGAGAGTAAGATGCTTCCTACGTAGTGTACTAGCACTGCCTCTGAGAGTAAGATGCTTCCTACGTAGTGTACTAGCACTGCCTCTGAGAGTAAGATGCTTCCTACGTAGTGTACTAGCACTGCCTCTGAGAGTAAGATGCTTCCTACGTAGTGTACTAGCACTGCCTCTGAGAGTAAGATGCTTCCTACGTAGTGTACTAGCACTGCCTCTGAGAGTAAGATGCTTCCTACGTAGTGTACTAGCACTGCCTCTGAGAGTAAGATGCTTCCTACGTAGTGTACTAGCACTGCCTCTGAGAGTAAGATGCTTCCTACGTAGTGTACTAGCACTGCCTCTGAGAGTAAGATGCTTCCTACGTAGTGTACTAGCACTGCCTCTGAGAGTAAGATGCTTCCTACGTAGTGTACTAGCACTGCCTCTGAGAGTAAGATGCTTCCTACGTAGTGTACTAGCACTGCCTCTGAGAGTAAGATGCTTCCTACGTAGTGTACTAGCACTGCCTCTGAGAGTAAGATGCTTCCTACGTAGTGTACTAGCACTGCCTCTGAGAGTAAGATGCTTCCTACGTAGTGTACTAGCACTGCCTCTGAGAGTAAGATGCTTCCTACGTAGTGTACTAGCACTGCCTCTGAGAGTAAGATGCTTCCTACGTAGTGTACTAGCACTGCCTCTGAGAGTAAGATGCTTCCTACGTAGTGTACTAGCACTGCCTCTGAGAGTAAGATGCTTCCTACGTAGTGTACTAGCACTGCCTCTGAGAGTAAGATGCTTCCTACGTAGTGTACTAGCACTGCCTCTGAGAGTAAGATGCTTCCTACGTAGTGTACTAGCACTGCCTCTGAGAGTAAGATGCTTCCTACGTTGTGTACTAGCACTGCCTCTGAGAGTAAGATGCTTCCTACGTAGTGTACTAGCACTGCCTCTGAGAGTAAGATGCTTCCTACGTAGTGTACTAGCACTGCCTCTGAGAGTAAGATGCTTCCTACGTAGTGTACTAGCACTGCCTCTGAGAGTAAGATGTTCCTACGTAGTGTACTAGCACTGCCTCTGAGAGTAAGATGCTTCCTACGTAGTGTACTAGCACTGCCTCTGAGAGTAAGATGCTTCCTACGTAGTGTACTAGCACTGCCTCTGAGAGTAAGATGCTTCCTACGTAGTGTACTAGCACTGCCTCTGAGAGTAAGATGCTTCCTACGTAGTGTACTAGCACTGCCTCTGAGAGTAAGATGCTTCCTACGTAGTGTACTAGCACTGCCTCTGAGAGTAAGATGCTTCCTACGTAGTGTACTAGCACTGCCTCTGAGAGTAAGATGCTTCCTACGTAGTGTACTAGCACTGCCTCTGAGAGTAAGATGCTTCCTACGTAGTGTACTAGCACTGCCTCTGAGAGTAAGATGCTTCCTACGTAGTGTACTAGCACTGCCTCTGAGAGTAAGATGCTTCTACGTAGTGTACTAGCACTGCCTCTGAGAGTAAGATGCTTCCTACGTAGTGTACTAGCACTGCCTCTGAGAGTAAGATGCTTCCTACGTAGTGTACTAGCACTGCCTCTGAGAGTAAGATGCTTCCTACGTAGTGTACTAGCACTGCCTCTGAGAGTAAGATGCTTCCTACGTAGTGTACTAGCACTGCCTCTGAGAGTAAGATGCTTCCTACGTAGTGTACTAGCACTGCCTCTGAGAGTAAGATGCTTCCTACGTAGTGTACTAGCACTGCCTCTGAGAGTAAGATGCTTCCTACGTAGTGTACTAGCACTGCCTCTGAGAGTAAGATGCTTCCTACGTAGTGTACTAGCACTGCCTCTGAGAGTAAGATGCTTCCTACGTAGTGTACTAGCACTGCCTCTGAGAGTAAGATGCTTCCTACGTAGTGTACTAGCACTGCCTCTGAGAGTAAGATGCTTCCTACGTAGTGTACTAGCACTGCCTCAGAGTAAGATGCTTCCTACGTAGTGTACTAGCACTGCCTCTGAGAGTAAAATGCTTCCAACATACTAGCTCCAGGCACATTCATTATTACCTATTCTCGGAGAGGAGGGAAGGTCACGAGGACAGGAGCTAGAGAGAATAAGCATTTGAGAAATGTTAAGGAAAATGTCGTTAGAAATTGGAGAAGAAAGTGTAGTGTGTTGGGAGGAAGGATTACAAAGGCTAGGAAGTACCTAGTTATTAACCCTGAAGTTCACTTTAAAATCCTAATGTATTTAAGGATTAAAATAAGCTCTCTGGGTATAAACACTGGAGAGGTACACAGTGGAGCGAGGTGTCGTTACTGACCAGAACTCTGTTGTTGATCGTGTTACATAAACTTCCAGTGATTGTAACATAGATCAGCTTCCAGTTTTGTAACATGCGCTAACTTCTAGTATTGTAACATAGGATAGCAGGCTAGCTTCCGGTGGTTTTTACATAGACTAGCTTCCACCGATTGTAATGTACACTAGCTTCTAGTATTGTTACATAGACTAGCTTCCAGTGGCTGTTACATAGACTAGCTTCCAGTGGTTGTAATATATACTAGCTTCAAGTGCTGTTAGAGTAGCTTCCAGTCGTTGTTACACAGATTAACTTCCAGTGGCTGTTACATAGACTAGTTTCCAGTTGTTTTAGTGTGTTACTGATCAACTTAGGCTTCGAACTGCATTTCTATAACATTGTTTCAATATTTACTTCTCTCCTAATGTTATTCATAATGCTAGACATAGATACACTAGAGTTATATTTTACATTTTCCTTCAGAGGGTGCATAATAAAGATATTAAACTATCTACTAACTTCAGGGTACTTTCTTCGGCTAACTTATCAACCTTATCATGAAGGTGTAATCCAGCGTGTGATGGAATCTATAACAACTGTATATTAATTCCCTTTTTCCAGGATTTGTGATTATCTATAACTGGTTTCTCCATTGAGTATGTTGTTAGAGTCATTATGCAAGTCAAGAGCCTTCGGTGATGACATAGAATCAGTAATAGTCATATAGTCAAGCCTAGCCCAGAAGAGCCATTATCTGTTTTTTTTACATGGAAACCAATTTATTTGTTAAATTGACAGCTTAAAAGTTACAGCAGCCCAAAGTGAAAAAATATAAAGCTTTCTCTTAATAAATCCCATCAACACTGAAAGTTTGAAATTTATCGGCAAAGGCATTCCCCAGTATTTGATTCCAAGATTTTTTAATATTTTCATTATAATTTCAAATTTGTGCCTCCGAAGTCTGAACTTACAGTGTCACCCTTCTGGACCACATCACTAGTGGCCCGTAATATTCTGACGCCGGTAAGACGAGGCTGTCTTTAATTACTGAATGGAAATCAGAATCGTTATTTTAATAAAATTATTAAATTGGGAAATATGTGGCGCAATAAAGTGAATGTTGCTCTGTGGATAACACAGAAGAGTCAGTCTCCAGTTATTCACAAGGATTCCATCAATTTCAAGTTTTATAAACTAATTTATTATATGAACAAATTTGCCCACACACAAACTAAAGCTAATGGGAACTATCCTGGTCAAAATATATATCACCCATTAAATATTGAAACTCTTCAGAGGTAGACTCGTATATATTTAACAGGAATAAAAAAAATAACTATTTTAAAAATAAACTTTAGAGATGTGCTCCAACACACTTGAATTTCACTGTCTTTATCGAATTAAGGGACACATTTTTTTTTTTGAACTTTTGGAGTTATTCCAGGAAACCGGAAATGGGTTCTGTAACGTTGGTCATAAGGTACCTTCACAAGGCAGTTGCTCCAAGAATTTTGCTCTAGTTACAGTACACCAGTGTTGAAATTTTGAAGTCGAGTGGATGAGACCTTCTAGTGTTAATAGCGAAATAAAAGCGAGAAAATGGAGGAAAGACATAAAAGAAAAAATCAGTCATCCATAAAATAATAATGATAATAATAATTGAAGTATTGAACCGTGCAGAAGTTTAATTTAGCATTTTGTGATACAGGTTCGGAATGGCAGCTCCTCTGTTGGTACAGATGGAGGCTGACATTGACCGGGAGCTAGAGCAGGAACGTCTGGCTGAAGAGCGTGCTGAGAACGGTGGTCAGTTGAACGGTGAAGACGAGTCTTGGAATCACGACAGCCACGACCTGTCGCCGCCTGAGCCTCCCAAGATGTTCTATGGTCCACAGCCTCAGATCATCACCAACGACCTCAAGAGTCTCGACGAAATGGTGAGTACCTGTGTAGTGTTGTGGTGCTTCTTGTGGCCTCGGCTGGCTGGTGCTTCTTGTGGCCACTGCTGGCTATATCGCTGTGGCCACTGCTGGGTGTGTCACTGTGGCCACTGCTGGCTGTGTCACTGTGGCCACTGCTGGCTGTGTCACTGTGGCCACTGCTGGTGTGTCACTGTGGCCACTGCTGGCTGTGTCACTGGCCATAGCTGGTGCTTGCCATTCACTACGTTTGATGTATGTCTTTCTACTCTTACCCCGCTAAATGGCAGAAATGTTTTTATTTTGGCTTCAGTCACGCGAGTTGTGCAGTATTCCCTCTTACCCGACTGCCATGTTACCGCAGGGTGCTATATCTTACCCTGGGACTTGAAATTACTGCGGTTCGAGAATATCATCCTCACCTCTGTATATGTTTTGAGAAGACAGAATGCTGAAGTGACAGTTATCTAGATTCCAGTTCGTCTCTAGCACTTGGCGATCTACACGTGGTGGTTTATCTTTCAGTTAGTAAAATTCGGGGAATATAATGCTAAAAGTAGAATGCTTGACGTTCAACAAAACATCAGCCACTGGCGTTTTAAAATATGTTGCGAGAAGAGCCGTGGTGAGTGCTAGTTGCTGGCAGTGAAGAGCCAGTCTCAGTCACAGTGAGTGCGGATAAGTAGTGTCCGCCGCAGCCTACCTGCACAGGCAATTTTCCTACACATTTAACAGGAAAAGTACAGAATAATTCGTTGTAAATCGCCTTGTGTAATTACCCTGACGTCATCGATCGAACACCAGTCACACTGCAGCTTTCTCGTATCATTGTGTATAATACAGCCATCAGTTGTATTGGCTGTATTATGCAACCATAAGTTGTATTATCACCTTGCATCTCCTCCTACACATTTTCATCACCTCATATTTATGACTCCATACTTACTATAACAATGAAAAATGTTCATGAACCAAAGTATTTGATTCTAACATCTTGACAGTGAGTCAAAAAGATTGACAATACAATCACAGACAGGCGATCTTAAGAATGCAAAACAAACTACGGGGAATGGAAATCTTCAGCTCGAGTACTTTCACAGGTCTCCGTGCGTCACCAGGAGCTATGCAGTGTTGCAAGAGTAGCAACGGAGGAAATGAGGGAAAGTTTTCTCAAAGTTACCTCCTGATGACACACTGATGCCGAATAGGTAAAACTTCGTGGTTACAATATTATATATACTGCTCGTGGAGGCGAGTATAGCCAAACGGGGAGTAGAATGAAATTAGCTCTGAGGCACCCAAACCATCGTATGTCCTGGGATCACGGTAAAACACCTAGCACTGCTGGGTGCTTGATTCTTGTAGGATTTGGTGGTCTTGTGGCTTAGAGCGTCATGTGATTTTCGCTCACTATGATGCGGGTCAACACGACATGGGTTCAAGTTAGTCGCAATGTTGTTTTTGGTAAACTAAACAGTCGGTTGGTTAATGATGTTTGAAGCCTATCGACTTCACGAGGGTCATTTAGGCTGTGTCGTACATTCATCACCAGACAAGAATACTTTAATTTCTAAAATAGGGATTAAGGTGAACTTTCACTGTATATAAACTGAGAGACATACACACGTCTCGGTGTATATATCCTGTGTATGTATAACAGCGAGAACCTAACACAACATTTGACTCAATGGTCACTTGGAGAGACTCACCTTGTCGGTGAGACGTTGTAAGACTTATTACTTTTGTTTCAGTATTACCCATCCTCGCTCCACCTCACCCGGCGCTCTAATGTGGGGGTGCCACTCACAGTGCCACTCTCCACTGCCACTCTTCATACAGTGCCACTTCACACAGAGTAACACTTTCCACACAGTGCCACTCCACACGGGGTAGCCTGTATTGCTTGTGAAGTGCCACAATACCCTGGTTGTAACAGTTTACAACTAACCCACAATACCCTGGCTGTAACAGTTTACAACTAACCCTCAATACCCTGGCTGTAACAGTTTACAACTAACTCACAATACCCTGGCTGTAACAGTTTACAACTAACCCTCAATACCCTGGCTGTAACAGTTTACAACTAACCCTCAATACCCTGGCTGTAACAGTTTACAACTAACCCTCAATACCCTGGCTGTAACAATTTACAACTAACCCGCAATACCTTGGTTGTAACAGTTTACAACTAACGCACAGTGCCCTGGCTGTAACAGTTTACAACTAATCCACAATACCTTGGTTGTAACAGTTTACAACTAATCCACAATGCCCTGGCTGTAACAATTTACAACTAACCCATAATACCCTGGCTGTAAGAATTTACAGCTAACCCACAATACCCTGGCTGTAACAATTTACAACTAACCCACATACCCTGGCTGTAACAATTTACAACTAACCCACAATACCCTGGCTGTAACAATTTACAACTAACCCACAATACCCTGGCTGTAACAATTTACAACTAACCCACAATACCCTGGCTGTAACAATTTACAACCCACAATACATTGGCTGTAACAATTTACAACTAACCCACAATACCCTGGCTGTAACAATTTACAGCTAACCCACAATACCCTGGCTGTAACAATTTACAACTAACCCACAATACCCTGGCTGTAACAATTTACAACTAACCCACAATACCCTGGCTATAACAATTTACAACTAAACCACAATACCCTGGCTGTAACAATTTACAACTAACCCACAATACCCTGGCTGTAACAATTTACAACCCACAATACCTTGGCTGTAACAATTTACAACTAACCCACAATACCCTGGCTGTAACAATTTACAACTAACCCACAATACCCTGGCTGTAACAATTTACAACCCACAATACCTTGGCTGTAACAATTTACAACTAACCCATAATACCCTGGCTGTAACAATTTACAACCCACAATACCTTGGCTGTAACAATTTACAACTAACCCACAATACCTTGGCTGTAACAATTTACAACTAACCCACAATACCTTGGCTGTAACAATTTACAACTAACCCACAATACCCTGGCTGTAACAATTTACAACTAACCCACAATACCTTGGCTGTAACAATTTACAACTAACCCACAATAACCTGACAGTCACAGTAACGGGGTCGAGAAATGTGGGTGTTTTTTTTTTCAGGTTTTTTTTTTTTTGGTATCCTGCTCTGCCCTAAGCCTGTAGCAGTTCAGGCCAGTGTGGTCTTGACGACCTGCTATGGGGGATAATCTCGGTGATACAGGGTCTGACCTGCCAGTCTGGTCTTGACGACCAGGTCAGTGTTGAACCCCGGTCTGACTCTCTAAGTGTGGTCTTGAAGACCTGGTCTGAGTCACGTCAGTGTGGTCAAGGTCTTATCACTGACGGAGGGGGTCCTAGATGGGACAGGTGAGATAAGAGATTTAGTCTCCTTCAAGACACCTGGCCGGATGTTGACAAGAGACAGTGAATGACGTCAGGTGCCAGAAGGTATGAAACACAGGAAGAAGACATCTTGTCAACACCAAGAAGCACAGTAAGAAGACATTTTGTCAACACCAAGAAGCACAGTAAGAAGACATTTTGTCAACACCAAGAAGCACAGTAAGAAGACATTTTGTCAACACCAAGAAGCACAGTAAGAAGACATTTTGTCAACACCAAGAAGAGCAGGAGAAAATCATCTTGTCAACACCAAGAAGCACAGTAAGAAGACATTTTGTCAACACCAAGAAGAGCAGGAGAAAATCATCTTGTCAACACCAAGAAGCACAGTAAGAAGACATCTTGTCAACACCAAGAAGCACAGTAAGAAGATATTTTGTCAACACCAAGAAGAGCAGGAGAAAATCATCTTGTCAACACCAAGAAGCACAGTAAGAAGACATTTTGTCAACACCAAGAAGAGCAGGAGAAAATCATCTTGTCAACACCAAGAAGCACAGTAAGAAGACATTTTGTCAACACCAAGAAGAGCAGGAGAAAATCATCCTTGTCAACACCAAGAAGCACAGTAAGAAGACATCTTGTCAACACAAGAAGAGCAGGAGGAAAATCATCTTGTCAACACCAAGAAGCACAGTAAGAAGACATTTTGTCAACACAAGAAAAGAGCAGGAGGAAATTTATCTTGTCAACACCAAGAAGCACAGTAAGAAGACATTTTGTTTACACCAAGATGAGCAGGAGAAAATCATCTTGTCAACACCAAGAAGCACAGTAAGAAGACATTTTGTCAACACCAAGAAGCAGCAGGAGAAATCATCTTGTCACACAAGAAGCCAGTAAGAAGACATTTTGTCAACACAGAAGAGCAGGAGAAAATCATCTTGTCAACACAAGAAGCACAGTAAGAAGACATTTTGTCAACACCAAGAAGAGCAGGAGAAAATCATCTTGTCAACACCAAGAAACACCACAGTAAGAAGATATTTTGTCAACACCAAGAAGAGCAGGAGAAAATCATCTTGTCAACACCAAGAAGCACAGTAAGAAGACATTTTGTCAACACCAAGAAAGAGCAGGAGAAAATCATCTTGTCAACACCAAGAAGCACAGTAAGAAGACATTTTGTCAACACCAGAAGAGCAGGAGAAAATCATCTTGTCAACACCAAGAAGCACAGTAAGAAGACATTTTGTCAACACCAAGAAGAGCAGGAGAAAATCATCTTGTCAACACCAAGAAGCACAGTAAGAAGACATCTTGTCAACACCAAGAAGCACAGTAAGAAGACATCTTGTCAACACCAAGAAGCACAGTAAGAAGATATTTTGTCAACACCAAGAAGAGCAGGAGAAAATCATCTTGTCAACACCAAGAAGCACAGTAAGAAGACATTTTGTCAACACCAAGAAGAGCAGGAGAAAATCATCTTGTCAACACCAAGAAGCACAGTAAGAAGACATTTTGTCAACACCAAGAAGAGCAGGAGAAAATCATCTTGTCAACACCAAGAAACACACAGTAAGAAGACATTTTGTCAACACCAAGAAGAGCAGGAGAAAATCATCTTGTCAACACCAAGAAACACACAGTAAGAAGATATCTTATTAACACCAATAATAATAATGATAAGAACAAGAAGAAGAAGTAGAAGAGGAAGAATTATAATAATAATAATAGCAGCAATAATAATAATAATAATAATAATAATAATAATAATAATAATAATAGCAATACCGTACGTTCAATAATGCCAGATGTTATTCCTAGCTTTGATAGCATGTCATACACATTCGATTTAACAAATCTTATTTACATTAATTATATTTGTATACACATTCAGAAGTTAGAATGTGTCACTACTGCATGTGTCAGCAACATATGTGTACTCATTAGTTACGTGTGAAACATACAGTACCTGGATTATACCTGGAAGGAATTCCGGGGGTCGGCGCCCCCGCGGTCCCCGAACCTGGGGACTATCTTACATAGTCCTCATGTAAGATAGTCACCAGGTAAGATAGTTCCCATGTAAGATGGTCACCAGGAAATTAGTCTCACGCAATATAGTCACCAGGTAAGATAGTCACCAGGTAGATAGTCGCCAGGTAAGATAGTCACCAGGTAAGATAGTCACCAGGTAAGATAGTCGCCAGGTGAGATTGTCACCAGG